TCTCCCAAACTGGTTTTTTTTTTTTTTTTTTTTTTAAGATACACCATCAGTAAAACGTAGTTAGTTACCTGCTGAGTGTGAATCGTCTTTCTTAGTCTTCACATCTTTTTCTTCTGAATCCTCACTGAAAATTAGAGAAAGATGTGTTGGCTGCTGTTTCAACTTTGATTTCAGTCACTACTGTACAGAAAATAGCAATTTTCAGAGAGCGACCTCTGGGAACATGCACTTTTCCTGGACACTACCAAACCATACTTCAGGACTACTCAACTGCATAGGTGGTTATCATGGTTGGAAAGATAATGTTCAAACTCTGAATCACAGACAGACTTAAGAGTCAACCAAACCAACCAGAAAATATTAAGATTGAGATGAACCACTCTGATGTCTTGATGGGAGTTTCACCACTCTGTGCTAGCGGTTTCAATCCTCATCAGAGGGTATCCCTCCACCATCAAGCAGGTGCTCCTGTTCTGTTCTTACCCAAACCCCCATTATTAGTCATTCCCACTGTCCAGAGGGGGTTTTCCTTCCAGCACGTGAGACACACGCTCCTTTAAGAGATTACATAAGCATTTTAAACAGGAATGGTGAATACTGTGTTGAGGGCCACTGATGTACACAACATATGCTTCAGGAATGGCTGAGAGTTTGCTGTGGCTAAGAAACCCAAAAGACCAAATCTTTGCTTATTTCAAATTTGGCGGCTGGAGCCAAGGCACAAAATTTCTCAAGAACTCTATTAGTTTAGATAAATTGTTGTATTACAGCTCCTCAGGCCTATGTTTTCAGCCTTATACAGCCACCTGTGGATTTCAATTACATAAATACCTGAGTCTGTTTTACATGCAAGCCCTCTGCAATGTTTGTGACACACACAGAAGCGTCCTTACGTACTTAAAAATCCCTAAAGCTAATAGGACAGAGCTGCCTAGCCCCATTTCTTTACACGTCATACCCGTAAATCTTGGATTGCAGGTGTTACAACAGGTATGTGCCAAGGCAAAAATAGCCTCTCCCTCTCAGTTCACCATAGCAGGTAGACCATGCAAGTGCTCCCACACCTACATTTAGCTTTCAACTTAAGAGAAGAGGAGGATGACAGGGAAGCCTCTTAAACATACCTGCTGGGAAGTCGCCTATTTTCCAGCAACCAGTGCGACAGAATAAAGAGACACCTTGCCTCCACCCCTGAAGCTGACATCTATCTTCAAAGCAGTCAATTGACTTCACAGGTCTCACAGCAATCACTTGCTGACCATAGTTATTGTAAAAAGGGAGATAACTACAGGAAAGACTTTCACTTTTATCACTTCAAACGGAGTCCTTTCACATTGCCAGAGCAACTCAAGTTATCAAAATAAGCTACTTCGTTTATGACTTAGACAGAAATAGGAAATGAGGAACAAAGAACGACACAACTAACAAACAGCCCCTACTCCTCACCGCCACCATGTCATCCATTTAATCTTTAAGCACGTGAACGCTCCGAGCATACTGAAAAGACATGGAAAACAAAACGCATGTCGCCACTAACTTACCTGCATAATTGTACCAGTTGCCAATTCTTACAGCTCGGATCACGTGCTTTCCCGTGCCAGCTCTGGAAAGCTGTTGGACTGACACATACTAGTGACAAGTACCTTACACATGATTTCTCTGTCTACTCGGATAAGAAAGAACCACCTCAAAGGCCAAGCTGGTTGGGCAGTCTTTGTGCTCCAGACCTCTCTTGGTTACACTGCAGGCCTGGAATCCCACTTAGACTCATTCCTCTCAGAAGATACTGCTCCCCACACGCAGGACACAGTTTGCAGACACATTCATAACAGATGAAGGGTTTCTTTTACCTGTCCTCCTGAGAATTCTTCCCGGATCGCCTCTTATTTTTAGCCTCCCGAGGAGACGAACGGATTTTCTTGGATGGGGGACCTGAATCTCTTCCATAATCTTCATCTGGACAGGATAGTACAAAATAGTTTTGAATCAAACTCCTAGTTCCCAGCAAACTGACTTCCTCAACCATAACTTAAACTGACCATTTCATGCACATCAAAAAGAAGCCCTTAAAAAACCAAAATATCAAAGCTTCAAATAAAACTTTATAGAAGCAAAGTCCTGTCTTAAACTGCCAACGGTACGATAAAAATGTCACATACAATCAAGTCTGATACAGGAGTATTAGGAAACATCTGAAAAGTCTCACAAGAGGACACCGTATCGTGTTTTACAGCTGGTAGGAGGCAGAGTTAGTATGTAAATCTACTAAAAGTTGACATCCATACATACTCCTGCATGCTTTTAAGAGCAAACACTTTATTTACTGACCTACAATGGGAAAAAGTACATCGTTACGTAGTTTACAGAGTAACTTTTTACAACTATTACACAATACCTTATACAATCTCACAGGACTGCAATTAAGAACACATATTTGTTTCCATTAATTATCAGTGCCACCTCACTTGGCAAACAGTAGCGGTATGTCTGTTTTCTGAGAACACAAAACGTATTCCATATGGCTTCCAGAAATATTTCGTTAATTCACATAGAACATAAAGACTATTTTTCAGATGCAATTCACAAAACTGCCTGATGCTGCAGTATTAACTAGAGTCCACTAAAATAAATTGAAAACATGTTTTACTGTAGAAAAAAAGTTGCATCAGGGAGATTCTGCCACAGACCATAACATAGACCAAGGAAGAAGGCAGTTGCTGCCAACAGCCTCAAGGCACTACAACAATACAAGCATTAAATAATAAGATTTCTATCACCATTGTTTGTTTAATATAAAACATACGAGAATCATTGTATTTTCAAATACTTAACAGTTCAGAGACTGTGAAAAGTAGAAATGCCTCTAGAATTTAAGTTCAAAATGTAACTAGAAGCAAAACAATTAATATGCAAAGCAATAAACAAACTGCCTTAGCCCAAGAATATTATATTGTTAAAAAAAAGTCAATTACCAGCATCATCTGATTCCTGAAACTGGGAGTAATCGACCACTTTCCTGTTCCTGTTTAAAGACAAGGGAGGGAAAAAAATAAATAAATTAGTAATTCATAATCTCAGAGACACAAAAGCTTTCTTTCTTCAAGTAACAAGAAAGTGCCATATCCTTGCTTCCAGTGCAGGATTCGTAGTGCAAAACCACCCCAAGAAAACTCTCAAAAATAAGTTGCCTCCATCTCTGAAATAAGAAATGAACCCACAGTATAGTCAAGCATTTTCCTAAGGAGCTATTATAACAGACTAGATTATACTCTCAGAATTTGAAAATTCTTTGGCTAAGTAGCGTTCTCTTACGGCTCCTGAGCGCAGCGACGAGAGGCATCTTAACCCATGCGACGTGGTTCTTCCATTATGGAAACTCCAGATGTGTCACCACATATCACGATGCTAGTGAAAACACTCTTCTAAAGGAGTGCCTGCACCCCAACATTAAAGACATTTAAAGAATGCATCAGCCTGAACTTTAAGCCAGAGCTCCCCCTAACTACCTGTCTCAGAGCTGTGAGATTTAAGACTAGGATTCCAGGTATAAAACAAGTCCACAAATATCATGATTCAGATAAACATTTCTTAATCACTCTTTTTTGAACTTCTGCTTCTCGCAGCTCAGTATTATCCTGCTTGCTCTCATACCTTCTCCTCAAGCTTTTTTTCTATATGCTCCCTGTTTCTAAAGCATTTTAAGTTTTTGCTTCTAGGCGCTTTCTCAATCAGATATTTTGATGCTCTGACGAGATATAGGAGAGCTGTTACAAGCACATCACAAGGCACAACAATGGAAGAAGAAATCCATTTCACTCAAGCTGTGTTTCTGGCCAGCAAATGAGACCACAGCTCCTTGACTTCATCAGGACCTTCGCTGCCCTCAAACCAAACTCAGAGTAGCACAGGCAAGGAGGTACCATTAACAGTACAAAGGTAATGGCCAACTCTAGACAAAATTCTGTTAACTACACAAGCAGCTATTGCTGAAACTAACTCCTCCCTTGCCAACAAAATTACAGGTGTTTCTCTAACTTACCAAAACTTAAGAAAATGAAATATAGGTAATTGTGGGCTATTTTCTCAGCACCTGTCCCAACTATTTTATTGGCAAGACAGGAAACACTGTAATACAGCTACTCAAGGAAACTACGACTGCTATGTAATTGAATTATACTTCAGTTCTAGCCAATAACACCTCAGTCGAACTCAGACTCCAAATATTCACGTCTTATGGCTGACATGCAACAGGAGGAGGAGGAGGAGGCACGTCTGAAAAAGGCACCAGAAATTCAGGTACCCCTCCATACAACCCCTTTGACCCAAAGGCAACAATGCGCTTAACTTTGCAGTAATCACACCTCTACCGCTAGAGAAGTCAGGCAAGAGAGAGACAAAGCGATCAGGCCAGCACCACAGACCTGGGGACGGCTGCAAGAGAAGCCAACAGAAGGTCCCTCCAGCACGTGAACCCCAACGCCCTTCCTCTCTCCTGCGCTGCCCAGCACGGCTGGTGATTTCACATTCGGTTCCCGTACCTGAGCTGCACTTTGTGATTCACGTCGTGCACTGCTGACAAGACCGTTCAGTTGAAAAATACCCCAAAAGTCACTGTTGCGTTCTGGCTGTTGATCCGTTTGAAATCAATTATAAAGTCACCCTCCCATATAAGTACATCTGCTCACGGCTTACGGCAGCAGCCTTCAAAAGATGGAGTGTAATTATTTTATTTCAACCCTCCAACAAGCCTCTTAAACTTAAAAAAAAACCACAAAAAACCAAAACCACCAACCTCTCAACAACATACACCAAACCAAAAAAACAAACCAAAAAAACAACAAACAAAAGAAAAGCAAGTTCAGCCGTTAGATTTCTACGGGTTGAATTCCATCCAAGCTTCAGAGTACACCTGAATGGCACAAAGTCCACGACCAACGTGCTGCACTGCTCACGTGCTCGCAGCCCCAAGAGGGCGAAGGATCAATTCGGGATATAACTACTGGGGAGGCCCGTTTTGCTGTGCCACCAGGGACGCCAAGTTCAAGCCTTCCTGCAGGCTGCCTCCTGACCCACCTCACCTGTGAAAACACTAATTTGGTTCTGAAGCACCTGAAGAACAATCAAGTTACTAGATAAGGTATTTAAGTATCAGGTATTAGGGTTTTTTTCCTCTTTTTATGTTTTCAGAGGAATTCAAAAAAAAGTAGAATTGCCACATATTCAGTTCTAGCAGCTCTGTCAAGCAATGGCTTTGGACATCACTCAACCGACAAGCAAGATGGAAATTGCAATATTGCCACTTTGTAGTAAGTCACACACATCTTCACAGCTTCATCTTGCTTATTTCAGTCAGAAACCCACATTAAACCAGGTGATGAAAACAAAACACAGTCAGAGAAAACATTAACAAAAAACAGTGTCCCTATGGAAAACATCCTTCCTGTACCCTGTGTTTTCAGCTAGAAAGTAAATCCTGCTAGGCTCTCATTACCACTGACCAGGAGTAGCAGTATTTGTATCAAAAAAAAGTAAAATTAAAAAAAAACCCATCACATTATGGCAGGGAAAAAAAAAAAGAGAGAGAAAAGGCTGTTTGCCTTGTTTTATCTTACTGTGCAGGACAACAAGAAGGGTGCAAGAAAGAAGGAATATCTATACTGATATTACTGAAGATAGAAAGTTGCAAGTCTTCCCAACAGAACCAGAGAAGCTCCCAAGGGCAGAAATGCTTAACACAAAAATAAACTATTTGTTAAACGCAGTTAGACTGAGCATCAAAAGACAGTCTAGTAGTCATCTGGGACGGACATTGTTCAACCTGGTTTAAAACACGCACTGAAATGTTACGATAACTTACTTGCTAATTCAGCGTAACATTTAAAGTGTGCATGAGAAGGAACTGGAGGAGGAAAGGTAGAGAGAGAGGTCCCAATAGCGTAAGTTTTTGGTAACAGCTGTCAGTCCAGATTTCTGGAATAAAGAGTAACTCATCCAGTGAGTCATCAGCGCAGCACATCCGAAGCACTTCCTAGCAAGGTAATACTAAGTAATTTAGCAAGAACTCAGAAATGTAAAGCAATTCTTAAAACCTATACTCGATGCCTACCAAACTGAAATTCTGAGATGATGAAAAGCAGTATTAACGTTTAAAGGGACCACTAAATGCCTGCACCACTAAGAAGTGTATAGTAATGCCCCATCTTCAGCTAGCAAGGTCCCTAATCCTTCGGTCTTTGCAAGTCAACACGTCAGAATACACACTAATAACCAGTTAGAAAGCTTTTGTTTTTAAAAGGGAATTCTTAGATCCCCAGTTATTTCTACAGGCATTAAAATCCACTGATAAATTCAAGTTTAAGAAAAATACATACATGCCAGAGAACAAATGCTAGAAGTCTTGAAAAAGCTAACATCTGATCTCATCATGGGTCGTGGAGGAATGTTTAGGTCAAATGACTGTCATCAGAATTAGCAACCTCCTGCCTTGTACAACATGGCAAGTAACATGAATGACAGATTACACAGGTACCAAGATTTATTTATTCTTTTAATTTTTTTTAACTACAGCATTTAACCAATATACCCATCAAACGAAGCTTTTGTGAGAAGAGTTATGGACCCTTCTTGTTGAAAGGCTGCTCGGGGCTGGCACAGAGGGGTCAGTTCCACTTTCTGGTTCTCATCCCAATAGGGAAAAATCTCCTGCTTTGGGGTCAACACAACCAGTAACTATCACCACCCAAAGCACCTCTGTGGTGCCTTTTGCATACACAGATAAGGGGGGGGGGGAAGACAGGTTGAAAATACCTCTGTGAAACACTTCCCAAGCTGTGCAAAACAAATATGCAATGCTAGTTTTAGGCCTTAAAGGAACATTCACTCACAATTAGGCATCAGAAGTTGAAACACGGAAGCCTAGTGACAGTTATGTACCTAAACCACGTCACTATGGTGTTAGTCTACTTAAAAATTGGCACAACTGTACTCAGACAAGACTCACCGACTAGAGGTTCCCAATTACAGAGGTCAGTGTTTGGGTCTGGACTTGGTGTAACTCCAAACGTCTGTAAGACTAGGCACTGCTCATGGCATCTGCAGAATTTTTAGGGATACACGACTTGAAACTCCATAAAACAATTAAATGATTTATGTAGCAACAGTTTAAGCGGCCTTGTGCTTATCCTCCACTTGAATCTAACTACAAGTCAGAAGGCTTTGAAATATAATACAGAAATGTTCTGATGCAGAGCAGGGAAGGGAGGAAAAAAACAAACCCCAAAACACACACACACACACAAAAACAATCAATTCTGCAACCTGTGTTGTTCCTGGTATTTTGATTTTAACTGTACTTCTACCTTGTTATCTGTTTATCTTTAGATTGGAAGTTTTCAGAGCAAGGATTATATCTTTGGACTTATCTGGAAAGGGTCTATAGCTTATCTCTGGATACTACCACACAGTATTACTCAAGTTAAATGTCAGTCTCCAAGGAAGCATTGCTTTCCTGATACCCCAGGGAAGTTTTCCAGAACCACAATATTTACACTTTACATTGTCCAGGTACAACATTGGCAACAAGACGAGGCATATTCAATAGATAAATATATTTCCTCCTGCAAGTAAAATTTCAATGGACCACTCTGCCACTGTAGAGCCAGTAGTAAGACCAAGATCCAAAAGCTACTAATAAAGAAAAATTAAATATTTAAAGCCTTGAAGCACAGAGATAAATTCATAAGTGGTTTAATCTTAAAACGAACAAACGAAAACCCCCGTGATTTCCATACCGGCCCCAAGTGTTTCATTTAGCACCGCCGGCAGGAGAGGACCAGCAAGTGAAAGTGACCAGCAAGCTCCATCAGCATTCTTACTTAACACACGTTAATTGATGTTGTATATAAAACCAGTGCCTCAAAACATCATTTTGTTTGAATTCAAGAACAGATGGGGATATAATAACAGAGCCAGCAGCTCCAAATGCTCGTTACGGTACTTCAGAAGTTCGCCCCAAGACGCAGG